ATATATACAATTGCTGAGTATAAAGAGATGATTGCACATATGCTTCCAGGTTGGCCTTGGGGACTGCCCCACCCTTGGAGACTTAACCCCTGGGTCATAACTTTGAAATGGTTAATATCCCCACCCCAAAACTATATATACAATTGTTGGGCATAAAGAGACGAATGCAGTCATGACATTAGAATTGATCCCAGGGTCTGCCCCACCCTTGCAGACTTGGCCCCTGGGTCATAACTTAGAAATGGTTGAGATCGCCACCTCAAAACTATATATACAAATGCTTAAAAAAAAGAGACAAATGCAGTCACGATATTAGAATCGATCCTGGGGTCTGGCCACAACTCTAGGGACCTAGTTTCTGATTCAAAGCTTGGAAACAGTTGAGATCCCCACCCCATAACCATACATAAAATTGCTGGGAATGAAAAATCTAATATAGCTATGCTACAAGGATTGGCCTTGGGGTCTGGCATATTCCCTTGATCTCATTTGGAAAATATTTTGCCATGATTGCATAGGTATCCAGGTGAGTGATACAGGCCCTCTGGGCCTTTTGTTTTATATTACAAGTAAAGCGATCCATGCCCCTGTGTACAGATACACAAACTCTGATAAGGCCTCTGACTCAAATATTTTTCAAATTTTGCTTCTGATAATCGCCCATCCCCCGACTTTCTGATGTGTGGTTGTAATCATTGATTCCAATAAGTACTCAAGCTCTGCTTTTGTTTTGTCATGTGTTCTCATTACTGCCTGGGCTGTCATCAGAACCAAAACGGTATATGTTTTTAACAGTATTGATTTCTTGAAGGAGCTATGCAAATCCGACACAAAATTTATGTTTGGAAAATAATGAAATTCTAAATAAATATCGACTGTTTGCCTACCAGGGTGCATAAGGAGATGGAGACTTGGAGACGGGATACAGAGGCTGACCTGCTGTGGAAAGACAGGAAGGCCAATGCTGTCTTACAGGACAAGGAGACCACAATACAACAGGTATATAGTGACCATGACCTTTTATTTGTCCAGGAAGCATATCAAACATGAAATGTCAATTATCTGAACACTTTACACTTTAGCTAATTATGCTAAGCTTAAGGATATAATATCATTGACAAGAGTGTACCATTTCATTGGCTTGTTTTCTTGGGCTAGTAATTGTATATATGTTATGACTAGTGAAAATAATCAATATTTACTGTAAACATTTAGGTCGGCCAATAGAATTTTTCAAAATCTCCCTGCAGACTTGTACTGTAAATAGGAAATGTACACCCCTGATTAAGGGGATGACCCTACTGTATTTTGAAATTTGCGGCGGTATATCATGATTATACGGTTCGCTCGTTGTCAGTATAATGTGACCGGGCGGGATGCTGTGGTTGGTGCCTTTGGCATGGCATTTCAATGAGATAGCACTATAAAATCGGCATCAGATCTGGGCCATCACAAGGAGGCAAGAACACCAACATACCCTGTCTCCTGCATACACGCACGCAAGCACGCATACACTACACACATGGAGGCACATCCTTAAATGACCTTAGCTGTTAAACGGTTAAACAGAATTAAACCAAACAGAACTAAACCAAACCATACTGTTGTAAATTGAATTTTACTGGCGATGTAGAGCGGGGCCATTAAAACGGATATTTGCGAAAAGTATAATCACGATATACCGCCGCAAATTTCAAAATACAGGTAGGGTTATCCCCATTCTAATTCATTTCATCTTAAACCACTGAAATAAATGACGATTTAAAGATGGTTTTGCGTGTTTTCTTAAAATTCTGGGTCTCTGTTCAGGATTGGTGATGTCAGAAATATTCAAAGTGAGGCGAGATTACTTTGACCTTTCGGGATCAAGCTATTGTTCTTGTTCTCATAAATAATCAATTTCATGACATGTCACGGTCAGTCAGGGTCATCGAGGTCATTAACAATCGCTATTCGGGCTTCATAATATGCAATTGAGAAATTTGCCGTTGGTATATCGTATCGTGGTTTTACTGTCGCAAATTATTTTGATTGACCAATCAAATGCTGTGTTACATCTCAAATGAATTAGAATTATAAATATTTATCGAGCTTTAATTTACAAGCTGTCTACACAGTAAAATACCATTCCTAGTCACAATGTAATCGGTTTATTCTGTATTCCAGTCGCGGCACGTCGCACACCAGTCGTCCAAACTTCGCAGCGAGTTAAAGGAGAAATATGGATCTGAGAGTTTTGACAAGAAAGCTTTCCGTGTTGAACTGTTTCATCAGATCGGTCTGGGACATCTCTCTAATAAGAAGGCAGTATAGCAACTGTTAACAAGCTGAAGTTAACTTTAATATGATCATCACCTCCTGTCAGACTCAGTGCTGAAGACACCTGGCAGGGACAGTTAATCTGTGATATGTTTAATGTTGGTAATTTATAGAAGATGGTGTATCAGGAATTCCTTCCCTCTGTTGGAGACAAGCAAAGTTTTCCACTATAGGAAATTCAACAATTGAAACAGCATCATCAGAGGAATGGGGTTTTTAATTTTCGGCACTTACCAAAAAAAACAGTAATTCAGTTTTCACAACACACTCAGAAACATATATTCAGATGTAGTTGTAATTTCAATCTTAGTTCCAAAAATCAGTGTCTGGACAGTGAGAATGTAAATTCCAGCGAGGTCCCATTAAGGGGTGTTGTGTGTGTTTGTTAAGGTCAGAGAGGTGTGTTAGGTATGATTTGTAAGAGTGCATGTGTACATGTATTTATTGACAGTACCCGTATATCTGAGTGTGTGTTTATGTCTGTAACTGAACATGTATAAGGTTGCAGGTATTCTTTCTGATACCTGTGTTTTAATTGTAAAATTGTGATATGTTATATACACTATAAGTACTACTATTATAATTATGTGTACAAGTGTAGGTAAATGTGTGTATAGATGTAAATTACACACAAGTACACACGTGTAGCATTGGAGATGTAAATTACACACAAGTACACACGTGTAGCATTGGAGATGTAAATTACACACAAGTACACACATGTAGCATTGTGACATACATTTTTGTACATTGTGTGTATGAGTGTGTACACCAGTACAAGGACATGTATATATGTGCGAGTGTGTTCGTGCTTACTGTCTTACACTTTGTGATAGAAGTGTAATGACATGTTAGATAGTTTATGTATACACGTAGTTTAAATATTATAAATTTGTTAAAAGTTTTTTGTCAGTGAATTTTACTGGAACAGTATTTATAATAGCATTACAATACTAAGTAGACAAGGAATATTCTCAGAAACACAGAACTATCAAGATAGATAATATTGATTTTTGGTCAAATACAAAATAATAGAAATTACAAGATTCTCTGTTTTGTGTTGTATGTGGCATAAGAACATCAGCTCTAGATCTGTACCGTTATTTTAAGGACTAACATACCTAACGTAGGTATACAAAATATAGAAACAAGAATTAAAAAGAGGATCTCAGCTTGTGTATGAATCCTCTCTAGTACAGATATGTATTTCCCAAAACATTTTCCATAACAACGAAACTTTCTATATATGTCATCATGATATTGAATGAATTTATTTTTATTTATAAACTGGAATAAGGTTCCTCACTTTTAGTTTCAAAAAGTGCACTTGATCATTCCTATTAATAAATGTGTACGCACAATTGAGAAGTGATACTCCATTGATATTGTGCTGTTTGTATTTTCACAGTAAACCTTTATGCTGGAACACTCGGGATGATATTGTGCTGTTTGTATTTTTACAATCCAATAACAAATAGGTATCAAATATCACTGTCCAGAATTTCCTTCATATATAGGACCCTGTAGTGTACCTCTGCTATACTGTCAGTACGATGAATCAATTTGTTTATTGCAAGGGATTAATCATTTGCATTAATTTTACAAAGAGACTTCTTCCTAATGTTAAATGTTCTACATGTATATACATCCATAAAATGAATACTACCATTATTGCAACAGCATCGTCACAATCATTAATTCAAGTACCGGTATTCCTGAATAAAACCTACAAGCATTGTTCAGAAATAAAATACACGTAAAAATAAGTGATGAACAGTGTATACTGAAGTGTCGCTGTAGCAGTGTTGAATGGTCTGCTATTAGTTTATACAATATGGTGTACATTTTTATGCCCTTGCCATCAAATGGGGGGGCATATTGTGTTGCCCATGTTCGTTGGTCCCGTCCCCTCCCAATATACACACACATACACTACACGCATGCATCTTGCACCCAGGGGAGGCCGTCCTTAAATGACCTTAGCTGTTAATAGGACGTTAAACAAAATCAAACAAACAAACAAACCGTCCCATCCCGTCCTGTCCCGTCCCATCCCGTCCTGTTCCGTCCCATCCATGAGCGGGGGCATTTATGTCTTACAGACATTTTCAAGTTAAGGAAAATATTCTGTAGCATGGCTGAGTGTTATCCTTATTGCCAAAATGATTTTTTGTTGAATTGATGAACGATGTATTTGTGAAGGGGCAGCTGAGTCTGTTTGTACAGTACAAGACTGTATATTGTAGTACTGTCAGACCTCGTTACAAACTTGTATATCATACACCCTGTGTATATAGCAGATGTTTGCTGGTCTTCAGGAAATATTTGGAAAAAAACTCAAATACCAGTTTATCTCTTAGTGGTGTTGTGGTTGTAATGCTAATGACAGCTATGACTTAACCAAAGGCGGTTGACATTTAGCAGAGATTTATAGGTTTAAAAAAGTTATAATTGTTTTCCATCAAATATTGTTTTCAATAACAAACAATAAACTTCTCACCAAATGTTAATTCCTTGCAAACAGTCCTCTTTTAATTCCATAAAAATAATGCTTAATAAATTGCGGTCATTTGAAGTATTTTTTTGATTGAATTAAAAAAAAATGTATTTACTAGAATTTTCTTTTTGGTACATCGTTTGGTTATATATTAACAATATTTGCTTAAAATTTGTATGTAAAAGATATGGCAAAAATTCAAATTTCTGATCCTGCTGAGCATTGTAAACGTAAACTTTATTTATTTTACAATAATTTTGAAACAAGTTTTTTTAACTTATAACCTAAATTTAAATCACTATGCTGAGCATTGAACCCCGTTGACTTGATGAGATTTGATAACGGTACAATTCGTAGATATTTTGGTTATTTTAGATAGATATACACTGTACGTACCTAATTAGTACACCAGTATGTGTCTGTAGCTTTAATGTTATTAGGAACATCGGTAGTCATCATCAGAATGTATTCATTGCTGGTCTGTGGCAGATAAAGTGAGATATAATTTTATACACGTGATTTTTGTACCATTGCATTTAGCGTATCACTTGGTAAAAATAAACCACGCAATCTACACTATAGTGTGTCCATTTTGTTTGAATCTGAAGACAGTTACCAGGGTTGAATGTTTTCAAGGACTCAATGTCAGAAACTCAGCATCATTCTGTCAATGTCAGCATCTACAGATTGTTTCCAGGGATTCAAAGAAAACTCGGCGTTTGAATCAGGTTATTTGGGGTGGGGGTCAATAAGTCCCGAAGTCAGAACTTCAGAGTTAGTCTTGAGTATCCAAGGAGACTTGATTATGTCTTCCAGGATTCAAGAAGACTCGCTTTAAGAATCGAGGTATTGTTCTGGAGAATTCTAGGAGACTCGAGGTCAGAAGTTCAGGATTATTCTTAATGATTTTAGGAGATTTCAACGTCAGGGTTATTCTTAAATGATTTTAGGAGATTTCAACGTAAAAACCTCAGGGTTGTTCCGAGTCTATTTTAACATATATTTGTTGTTTTTAATGGGTCAGAAAGGTGAAATCATTCAGCCAATGCAAGCTGTAATTCTGAAAAAGACTTCAGTGATTACTTCCTGAATAAATCAGCTCGATCTGGAAAAAATATTGCTGAAGTGAACTCTACTGCTAACAATGATATCTCTGTCATGACTGCTGACATTAAATTTGATGGGAAACCATTGACAAAGCTCTCACCAACAACCCAGGGCAAGTTGCGCAATATCATCATGACCTCGTAGTCGACGTCCCGTGAGCTTGATCCACTGCCTACAGACCTATTAAAGCAATGTCTTGAAGCACCGCTTTCCCTTGATTACCTCAATCATAAACAAATCATTGGCTGAGTCAAAGGTTCCATTGTGTTTCAAGAAGGTACATGTTAGACCATTGTTAAAAAAGCCAGGAATGGACAAGGAGGAGTTGAAGAACTACCGTCCAGCATCAAATCTGCCTTTCTTGTCTAAGATCTTGGAGTAGGTTGTGTCCCAGCGTTTATAGGTTAATCTCCATGCAAACAGTCTCCATGACAACATGCAATCGGCCTACAACATGGGACACTACTGATACGGCCCTCCTATCTACGTGTACATAACGATATAGCTTCTGCATTGGATAACAAGTACTGAGCGGTGCTTGTCATGTTGGACTTGTCAGCTGCATTTGACGTCATCGACAATGGCATACATTGTACTTTATAAACGTCTGGAGTACTCTTATGGAGTGACTGATACCGCACTATGCTGGATACAGTCGTATCTGAGTGAACGACGACAGTGTGTTGCCATCGGATCTACCACCTCACATGACAAAGTACTAGATTTCGGGGTTCCTAAATGGTCGGTGTTAGAACCACGAAAATATTGCCTGTATTCCAAACCGATCGGAGAGATTTGTCGTCACCATAGCCTTCGCTATCATTGCTATTCTGATGACACCAATTTTCACGGTCATCAAACCACAGGACAGTTGGGATACAATATCAGAATGAACGCCAAAATGCTAATTGCTAAAGCTTAATCAGGAAAAGACGGAACTAATCGTCTTTTCCCCAAAGTGTCAGCAAACAATGGCTCTCCAGCTTAAGGTCGGTACCAGAACTATTGTGACTGTCCCAGCTGTTAAAAACCTTTGGGTATACTTTGATAGTTCACTGAACACGGTGAAACAAGTGAACGCTATTGCAAAATCCTGTTACTACCAGATCAAGAACATCGGCTGTATCGGGAAGTTTATAACTGCAAATGCATGCAAGATTTTGGTGCATTCACTTATTACCTCTCGGTTGGATTATGGTAGCGCCCTGCTCTCTGGTATACCTGACAAACTAACTAGTCGTCTGCAGAGGGTCCAGAACACTGCAGCACGGCTGGTTACTCGTACGCGAAAGAGAGAGCACATCACACCTGTGCTTTATTCATTGCACTGGCTACCTGTACGATATATGACGCAGTACAATTTTTGCTGTACACATTCAAGGTACTGAATGGAACAGCCCTGTATCAGCCGTCACGATCACTCCAGTCGGAGACATAATCATTGTTGTGTGGTCCGAAATCTCGCACTGTGACCTACGGAAACCGATGCTTTGGGAGGGTTTCGGCCACGTTGTGGAATAGCTTACTATCTGCTATTAGAAAGTCAAATACCCTGGCCAAATTCAAGAAGGACATCAAAACTCACTTCTTCACGTCTGCATTTTAGACTGTTTGCACATACGTCCATACCACCCTTTGTTTATTCATTGATATGCACATCGAAATGATTATCTTCTTGCATAATGTATAATGGTGGTTTTAAGCCATTTTTGTTTCACAATCATAACTAAAACTGTTATCCATGTGTTATAAAGCGCTTTAGAGTAATTTTATAAATCATATAGGGCGCTATATCAATGTTGTATATTATCATTATTATTATTATTTATTAGATGATTTAGGGAATTCAACATCAGAAACCCAGGGTGGTTTTTCAATGAATTAAGGAATTTAACGTCAAAACGCCAAGGATTATTTTTAAATGATTTAAGGAGATTCAACGTTAAAATCCCAAAACCTCAGGATTGTTCTTAATGATTTAAGGAATTCAACAACAGAACCTCAGGATTGTTCTTAATGATTAAAGGAATTCAACAACAGAACCTCAGGATTGTTCTTAATGAATTAAGGAAAAACATATTCAGAACCCCGGTAGTTTTCATAAGCATTTAAGGAGAATCAACGTCAGAACCTCAGGATTTTTAATGCTTTAAGGTGGTTTAATGTCAGAACCTCCGGGTTGTTCTGGAAGTTTCTAGGAGGCTTTTAAGCCTCAGTAAAATTACTCATTCTCAAAATCGTGTTTGTTTCGTATCAATATGACAAAATATTAATGATAAGCAATAGTTATTCCATATCACAAATGAAAAATATTCATAAATATATTTTAAAATTTTCATGTATTAACGATAGGAAACAGGACATACTAAAAGATTCACCATACATTAAAATACTCAAGTAAAACAATATCACCTTTAGCGATTATTGTAGCCTGGAGGCATTTTATATTGATAGAATTACACGTATCACTATAAGAAGCTAAATAATTCTAGACAAAATATGCAATACTATTATTTTTTTCTACAATTATGCATTCTTCAAAAGTACGTATACGTGTATATCGCAGCTATAGTCACTGCATTGTTCGTGTTTCGCATGTCTTATTATCACCGAAAGCATGATAAATATGTAATAAGACCAAGAATATAGCCCGAAGGTACATTGTATATAACTCACAGGTAACAACCTTACAGGTATCTATAACAGGCAACAGGCAAGCTTACAGGTGTATATTAATAAGTACAGGGATAAAACACACCTTTTAGTAGCCTTTGTCATGTTAGCAGGAACTGGCCACCATCTTGAAAATGGATTGTGCATGGATTAGATTGGGATGGGTGGACCGTATCTCCATGGTAAGTATTTGACACGAGATGCGATAGTTAATGTTTTGATGGTAAACATACGGTAAGATTACATTCAATGTGTTTACCTTCTTAGTTGTACAGATACATCGCACTATGTTATAGATGTGCAATACTTTACCTTTCACCTGATCATGACATCCCTGTACGTACTTGTAGGGCCTGTCATCGGCAATCATTTTCTGATCGTGTCAGGAGTTTTGGATTGAATGTTTCACGTTTGCAATTTAATCACGTTGGTTGAGAACCAAAATATCGAAATTGAAACTTTTGAGATAAAAGCGAAGTTCGATCCTAAATCATAATGAAAAAGGCAAATTATAAAAAAATAGTACATCATATAGATGATTAATATTTTCGATGATTCGTCCGCTAGGTGTACGGTCCCTATGCCTTACACAGTGACATACATTGTGTATTTGATGGATGTCCAATACTTTTACAGAAGCGTATCGTATTGAATCAAGTGTTTTATACACCTGTAATACTACAAAGTCCTGTTGTGGTGTTATACACACGTGTTATACTAGAAAGTCCTATTGTAATGTTTTACACACGTGTAATAATAGAAAGTCCTGTTGAAATGTTATACACAGGTGTACTACTACAAAGTCCTATAGTAATGTTGTACAAACGTGTTATACTACAAAGTCCTGTTGTAATGTTATACAAACGTGTTATACTACAAAGTCCTGTTGTAATGTTATTCACACTTTTAATACTACAAAGTCCTATTGAAATGTTATACACATGTTTAATACTAGAAAGTCCTGTTGTAATGTTGTACACAGGGGTTATACTACAAAGTCCTGTTGTAGTGTTATACACATGTTTAATACTAGAAAGTCCTATTCAAATGTTATACACTCGTGTAGTCGTACAGAGTCCTGTTGTAATGTTATACACATGTTTAGTCGTACAAAGTCCTGTTGTAATGTTGTACACATGTTTAATACTAGAAAGTCCTGTTGTAATGTTGTCCACACGTGTTAGCCTACAAAGTCCTGTTGTAATGTTATACACATGTTTAGTCGTACAGAGTCCTGTTTTAATGTTGTACTCAGGTGTTATACTACAAAGTCCTGTTGTAACGTTATACAAACGTGTTATACTACAAAGGCCTGTTGTAATGTTATACAAACGCGTTATACTACAAAGTCCTGTTGTAACGTTATACAAACGTGTTATACTACAAAGTCCTGTTGTGATGTTATACACATGTTTAATACTAGAAAGGCCTATTGAAATGTTATACACTCGTGTAGTCGTACAGAGTCCTGTTGTAATGTTGTTCACAGGTGTTATACTACAAAGTCCCGTTGTAATGTTATACACATGTTTAGTCGTACAGAGTCCTGTTGTAATGTTGTTCACAGGTGTTATACTACAAAGTCCTGTTGTGATGTTATACACATGTTTAATACTAGAAAGTCCTATTGAAATGTTATACACACGTGTAATATACAAAATGTTATTGTAATGCTGTACACATGTGTGATCCTTCAAAGTCCAATTGTAATGTTTTACAAACGTGTAGTACTAAAAAGTCCTATTGTTATGTTTTACACACGTGTAATACTACAAAGTCCTATTGTTATGTTATACACACGTGTAATACTACAACGTCCTATTGTAATGTTTTACACACGTGTAATACAACAAAGTCCTATTGTAATGTTTTACACACGTGTAATACTACAAAGTGCTATTGTAATATTTTATACACCTGTCATACTACAAAGTCTTGTTTTAATGTTATAAACACGTTATTATCACGGCAGTGCTTCGCAGGTATTTTGTAAAATTTTACACATGCGTATTCTTATGTAATACATGTGTGTTCCTACACGGAAATAATTCAATAACCATGTTTATTCTCAACATATTTGAAATTAATTCGCATTGGTGAACAGTTACATATACTCAAACATATAGAAAGATTACAGGAATAGATATATATATATATATTCTAATCACTGTAATAATAAACCTAACGCGGTTTTAACTGAACACGCAGCAACGAATAAACCTTTCTTTACATCGAATGAAAAGTCTTCCATGATAATACGTAATAAACCTGTGACGGCATTAACTGATCATCTTTCTTGCTATTAACTGATAAATCTTTATTGAAATGAACTGATAAATCTCTCTTGACATCAACTGAATAATATTTATTAACATAAACTGATAAGTCTTTCTCAACGTTAGCTTATTCACATTTCTTGACATTAATTAATAAATCTTGTCGTATTTAACCGGTGAATCTTTATTTACTTTAATTGATAAACATTTCTTGACATTAACCGATACCTCTTCTCGACATTAGCTGATAATCTTTGTCTTTGACGTTAACAGATAAACATTCTCGACACTAATTGATAAATCTTTCTCAACATTAACTGATAAATATTTCTTGACATTAACTGATAAATCCTTCTCGACATAAACTAAGAAACGTTATCGACATAAATTGATAAATCTTTCTCAACATTACCTGATAAATATTTCTTGACATTAACTGATAAATCCCTCTCGACATTAACTGATAAACGTTATCGACATTAATTGATAAATCTTTCTCAACATTAACTGATAAACATTCTTGACATTAATTGATAAATCTTTCTCAACATTATCTGATAAACATTCTCGACATTAATTGATAAATCGTTTTCAACATTAACTGATAAACGTTCTTGACATTAATTGATAAATCGTTTTCAACATTAACTGATAAACATTCTCGACACTCACTGATACATCTATCTCAGCTTTAACTAATATATCTATCGCGATATTTAATGCTTAACATTTCTCGACATCAACTGACATAACCTTTTTCGACATTAATTGATAAAACTGTCGCCACATTAATTGATACATTATCCACCATATTTGACAACATTTAAGGACATTAACTCATAAAATATATACGTGTCACAATATAAACTGATAACCCTTCCTGGGCCCAGTTGTTCAAAAGGTGACAAGCTTAATGGCTGTTTAACAACATTTTTCAACATTCAAAATTTTGTCAATATAAAAGGAAAAATCTCACAATTTCAATAAATTCACTTTACTAAAAATTTGATATCTGGAAAGTTATAACTAATTCAATGGCTGTGTCTTAAAGATACACAATTTGATATCTGGAAAGTTATAACTAATTCAATGGCTGCGTCTTAAAGATACACAAGACGTAACATTAGCACTAATCACTGATTAAGCTAATCACCTTTTGAACAACTGGGCCGTGGTATTTAACATAGACAGCTTTCTGGACATTAACGAATAAACCGACCACGCCATTTATCAATAAATCTGCCGCGAAATTACTTTATAAACCTTTCTGCCTGGTAACTAATAAACATTTTCTGGACATTAACTGGCTAACCTGCCAAAAAGTTACTAATAAATCGGTTATAACAACTGATAGCATGCTACGACATTTATTGATTAACTTCTGTCGACAGTTATCCACGAACTTGCCACGGGATTAACTGACAAACAGTAACAACATTGATAAACCTGTAACAACAGTCACAGATACACTTACCACGAAATTTATATCCTTAATTTACACATGCTATGGCGTTTAAAAATACAAAGAAAGAAAGCATATATGATTAAGAATCCTGTGAGATAGTGCTGAAAAGCCAAACAAAGTTAACATTTTAGGACAGCAAACTTGGTCTATTTTGGACTTATCAGTGTTAAAAATGGTCAAACGAATGTAGCATCAATTAGTTCGAAATTCCAAAATACTTGTAGAATACAGTGAATAGGGAAAGCTGCCTATGGAAATGTTTATAATGTTTCTACAAATATTAGTCACCCATCAGTTCTCGGGAGGGACAATATGTTTGCACTCCGTCCGTCCGAAAAGTTTGTCTGGCACATATCTTCTTTACTATTTTATGAGGAATAATAAGATTTGGTATGCAAGTACGCCTTGGGATGGCGGAATGTCATGTACAAACAATAGGTCACTCTGATCTATGATTTGACATATGGGCACCAAACTTTGAAACAGTTTGTCCGGGACATATTTTTCTTTATTTAGTTACCAGATTTGGTATGCGAGTACATCTTGCAATGGCAGAGTCTATGTACAAAAGTAGGTCACTGTGACCTATTGACCTTTGACCTTATCATATGGAAACGTTTGTCCTGGTCATATCTTTTTCTTTCACATTAGGAACTTATCACCTAGTATGGAACGATGACTGTTCCTTTTTTGACTGTTCCTGATCTTCTATACTATGTTCCTTTTTTGACTGTTCCTGATCTTCTATATTATTTCATCTAAACTGACAAGATTTTGTATGCGAGTACGTCAACGGTGGCCAGAGTATCAAGAACAAAAAAGTACGTCATTGTAATCTATGATTTAACATTTGATGTCAACCTTTGAAAAAAAATCTATCTTGGATATATCGTCTTAAGTGTTCAACTGGAGTAAGCAGATTTGGTATGAAAGTACATCCTTGGATGGTGGAGTATCAAAAAGTTGGTCACTGGGACCTATGCTTGACCTTCCACTTTATCCTTTATAAACATTGTCTGGGGCATATATTCTTCACTACAATATTGCATCTGGAGTTAACCAGATTTGGTATTTAAGTACAATGCATGTGTTGACTGGCGGAGTGCGGGAAAGTATGTCACTGTGACCTATATCCTGAGATAGGTGTACAGTTCGGTAAATAAAGAAATCATTACCAATGGGAACTATGGATTGCCTTGCAATGAATTGCCCTGTTTATACTTATCTTGTATTCCATGTAAAGCATGCCTAAATATATTTCAGATACAATGCTAAGACCAACCATTCAACCACCTTGTTGCGTAATACATTAACCAACTTCGACTTAATATGCCAGTTAGCTGCTGGTAATTGTTGTTTCTTTGGATGATATACCATGAAAACATATCAGTAATGTTTTCATGTGTTGACCCACTTAATGTGGAACACACTGGCCTGATTTATCTGACATATTTGTAATATCACTTTTTTGTGCACTTTCAGAGTGTGATTGTTGGTGTGGTGATCCTGCTATGTACCCCGGTACCTGGGAGCGGACACGAAGAGAAGCCCGAGGGAAATGACCTGTGCGGGATGAAATGCTCATGTCGGGCAACTATTGTTCGATGTTTTGAGTTGGTTCACTTCCCAAAGTTTTTTCCTCAGAACACCACAAAAATCTACTTTGAACAACTCGTGACGGAACTGCTACCCGCTGACGCGTTTAAAAGCATCCCGATGGTGAAAACAATCGAGTTCAGTCGAAGTAACATTGGTCGTATCGCGGGGTGTGCCTTCGATGGTTTACCTTACCTTGAGGATCTGTATATGGTCAGAACTGTAATCGGATCTATCGCTACAATGGCCGTCAGTAACATTGCTCCGTCCGCATCGGTTGTCATGCAGTATGTTACAGTTACTACACTTGAAACGGCTGCGTTTTCTCACCTGACTAATCTCACTATTTTTCAAATCGGTAACTGCACGGTTCACGAGATGGAGCCAAACGCGTTTAGTGGCATTTCAAATGTAGAGAAAGGGTTCATTATAACTACAACGAGGCTGTTGGATTTCAATGGTCCGTTCCTCGACGATATGCAGTCTGTTGGGAAAATTGTCTTTACAGAAAATACAATGGGTTCCTTCCCATGCCTCGCTCTGGACAGTTTGGTATCACCAGTCAACCAGCTCACCATTTCCGACAATAACATTAACTGCACGTGCGTCAAGCTAGGTACAGGTGACCACCTGACCGAGGACGAGTATGTGAAAAAGCAGCTGATGAAAAGCATGTGCGTTGGATTAGAGGCTAGCGAGAAAATGACGGTATCAGAAAGGCTTGCCAAGAGCTCTTGCAAACAAACGAAATGTGCATCCTTCCAGTCTAGGGAGGTATCACGGTTATCGTGTAAACCTGAAAGAGCCCGGCCAGATGACCCCAACCCTAATTATTACGACGGAAATGCCGGAAATACGTCACCGATAGCGTTACAAACATTGTCTCTACTTATTTTGGCGTCTCTTCTGTTTATATTGACATGACCACATTAAAAAGGTAATAAGTATTTTGAAAACCGTAATAGAGCAATATTCTCTGACAAAAAGAATATGCAAACACTGAGACGCCATCCTTCGACATGTTTACGGTCGTACCTGTTGGAAACGTGGTCAACCAGTACACTTAATAGTCATCGCTCTACAGTATACAAATATGTTTTGTAGCATATTGGTCATATCGGTAATTTTTTCCTCGTTCCTGTTGACCAGAAGAACCCAGTGATTTGTGTTATGCTGCGCATGACGTCCTCTTGCCAATTGAATTGTTTATGATATCTGTTAACATGATGGCATTAAAACTTATAAAATAACAAAGGAAAGTTGTTTTTAACAGTTGTGTAAAGGAAACCGATGTTCTACTGTTGTACGCCCTAACCACTCACAGCAGGAGTAAACACTCTGGTTAGAATAATCACACTTTAGTACTTGATTTGCCCGCCCTGCCCATGGGTTTCTAGCTGGATTTGCTTACGCAGAGAGTTCACGAGGACAACAGTTCACTTTAAAAGGATAATGCCCCATGAGACGGGACTTTGAAAAAGTCATACTGGTTTATGCAAACGACTTTTGTGATATTTTGGATGCGTGATTATCCATATTAATCATATTATTCCAGCATTAATGATAGAATTTCCAGATCAATAGCTTAATATTGATATCTGGCAAAAGTGATTAAGTTAAAAAGGTGAACAAATACACCGATACACCGTCACCTTCGGCTAGGCTGAGTATACAAATTAGGGATTTTCATATTTTCCATTTTTATGGTTGTCATTGTCCCATGGATGTGTTTATTATAGTTTTTGTCATAATAAATTGTTGAGAAAGCCCTTTTCAAATAAATTTTCCACGGACAATTTCAAATATCGTAGTTTTAAGTTATGTGATCCATGCATAATCTTTTGAATGTCTTAAGATTTAAACGAATGTGGTCACAGTGACTCAACAAGTTCACACACAAATTGTATTTTCCTCACATAATGGATTATCATGTTGAAAATATCCATTGGAACCGTCTGCAGTTTATAACAGTGTAAAATACCATTATATGTAAAAAGAAACCCCAATAGCGTTAGATTTTCTACGTAATGTTATAAAAACCGAGTAATCTAGAATATCGGCTTACATTGAAAGCAATAGCAAGATGTACCTATAGCAACCGATTGTTTTCGGCTACAGCCAGTAGTGCATTATTATACACAGGTCTGAACAATCAGAACCCAAGCAATAGAGTATTTCCTGCTTTGTATATGATTTGTGAACAGACCTACATGATAAGCAAACCAGGTGAGATATGAGAAATTCTCTTATATTAACAAATAAGATCACAGACTTAATTCCGATATTTATTTTTATTTCATAAGTTTAGCAATAGCTGAACTGTCGATACTCTTTAGATGACCAGATAGGGTTAGACAGACTATTTCCACCAGGATCTTCTATAACAAAAAAATCTTCCACCAGAATCTTCTATAACAAACAAATTTTCCACCAGGATCTTCTAGTACAAACACATTTTCCACCAGGATCTTCTATAACTAACAAATTTTCCACCAGGATCTTCTATAACAAACAAATTTTCCACCAGGATCGTCTATAACAAACAACGTTTCCACCAAGATCTTCTTTAACAAACAAAGTTTACACCAGGATCTTCTATAATAAAACAAAGTTTCCAGTAGGATCTTCTATAACAAACAAATTTTCCACCAGGATCTTCTAGTACAAACACATTTTCCACCAGGATCTTCTATAACAAACAAATTTTCCACCAGGATCGTCTATAACAAACAACGTTTCCACCAAGATCTTCTTTAACAAACAAAGTTTACACCAGGATCTTCTATAACAAAACAAAGTTTCCAGTAGGATCTTCTATAACAAACAAAGTTTCCACCCGGATTTCTATAACAAACAATTTTCCACCAGGATCTTATATAACAAACAAATTACCACTTCTAAGCAAAACAAGGTAATATATGACATAAAAACGTTTGACTTTAAACAACCAAAGGATTTTCAGTGACATAAAAAACTGATGTATTTGTGATTAAGCTGTTAGAGCAGGTCTACGTATACCAGAACATCAGTATAATGCGAAATACTTCAGGAATAGATGTGGGGACCTGACAGATTACATGGAAGGAGCTGGCGATATTATAGGTCGTAAGTAATCGAAGGTATAGCTTCAGTATTCAATCTACAATCATGGTCATTTTTCATCAGACTCGTGTTCCTTTAGTCAATAACAGGTGAAATCCATTGGTTGACTCTCTGTCTCATCCCCAGGGAATAAGCGTGAACCAAGTCCGAATATACTCTGCAAGCCAGGGAATGCAAATATGTTTTATCAAAAGGAGGGAAATAATATATATTAGCCAAGGAATTGACTACACGATAACAAATTATAATATAATGTTATGACCATGCACAGAAAAACACCACTTCAACACAACTTTTGTAGTTACGGAATTCAAATGAATTGAACGATGCTATGGAAACTGGAAAAATGAATTTCGATTACATAAAACCAAGATATACTTCAACGAACTAGTCAGCAACTTTAAGAATCTGAAAATAAAATAAATACAATGAAAATAACTTTAAATTCTACGAATAATTAACTACTGCTGCTAATAAAAAATCGCATGAAGTAAGTATAATGAGGACGAATCATCAAGCATATGAAAGCATTAATGTTATCAATTGGAAATGATCGAGAAAAGAAACGTCACGGGTGAAATATTCAACAAAATGGAATTAAAAAAACACATAATTCATAGGGGATATGTACTCATTGCAATAATGGCTTAGTGGGCAGCAGCAAAAGAGAGGTCAAGATTGCATTGGTTTGCAGAAGAATACAAATTCACCCTTCATGGAAATCTCAAGAGGACATACGAAACAACGTAAATGTATGAAGTATGAAAACAGTCAAAATATTTAAAAGAAGAAACTGTGTATATATATTCGTGTACTACAGTATCCCATCCCAAACCTTAACTGTTCGCCCTAAGGATAAACCTCGGATGCAGAATAATATAAGGCATAAAATTAAACACAAAGAAATAGACTACGTAAAAAGACTGTAAATTACAACACCGCAATTAATTGGGGAAATTCCAGAAAGCCAGAAATGAAGCAGTAGACCCTGGAAGAGAAGCTAAAAGAAATTACAGATGGTGGAAAACTGCTCGATCTGTCATAAACTCAAACCAATCAAATTGTCTTGCCCCTCTTTCTGTAAATAACAGCTTAATACATCATCCATTTGAAAAAAAACCAGAATGTCTAGATAACTTTTTCAGCTCAATATTAATTTCTTCTGAAAATCTTGAACCCCTTACCCCCAATAAGTACTTTTCCCTTTATCATAGACACTACTGTTACAACTAAAACGGACATTACTGAAGATCAACTGTTTTTACTTAATGATAACGAACCACCTGGCCAAGATGGCACGATACCTAAACAAATATAGATATCAGCACCTTCTTTAAAATGTCCTCTAACTTAACTTTGTAATAAGGCAATCTAATCTGGTATTATATCTCTTTCTTGGATTCAAAGCTAATATTGATGCAATATACAAAGGTTAGGGTGCTCAAAATGATGTATCTAGCTATTGGCCAATATCTATAACATAATGTTTGAACAAACTTGTCGAAAAACTTATTTTTAGATATAATAATGTTTCAATATATGAAAGAATGTGACATCATAACGAAACACCAATCAAGCTTCCTAGCAAGAGGCTCATCAGTTAACCAGTTATTAATTATATATTACACTAATTGTAAATCACTTCGATCAAAATAATGAAATTAGATTTGTAATTTGTGACGATAGTGAGGCGTTTGATAGAGTTTGGCGTGAGGGTCTACTTTTTAAATTGGAAACATATGGTCTAAAAGGGCAAATATTGCAATGATTCAGTAATTATCTTTCTGATATAAAAAGGAGGTTATCGACAGAGGGCTTTTATTAAACTTTTAAGCATGTCAAAGCCTGTGTACCCCAAGGCTCGGTCCTCGGTCCATTTCTTTTTTTAATCTTTATGAATGAAATATCAGAATGTTAAACAAGTAAAATAAAACGTTTTGCTGTTGATACTTCTCTGTATGATGTTACAGACAACAATCAAAATGAAATTGCAGCGAAAATAACCAATGATCTAAGTTCTTGTAATGCATAGGCAAAAGATGGATATCAAATTTAGTTTGCTGAAAACTGAGTCTGTAATATTCTCAAGGAAAAGGGAACCAAAGAGAACCATCCGGATATCATATTTGGTAATGAAACTGTAACTTTATAAACAAACTGATAAGCACCTTGGTTTAATGGTAAAAGGACAGATCATATGTACAATATTTATGACCTAACCTATAGAAGAATGAACGTTTAGATAATGTTAAAACAGTAATTGGATAGAAAAAGTCTTACAACAATATGTACCTCTTTTATTAGCCCAACACTTGAATATGTAGTACAGGAACTGTAGTACCAACATAAAAATATTCTAAAATTACTCCAGCAAGAGGCATTAAGAATCATCACAGGATTGTGCAGAGGGACCTCACATAGTAAGCTTTATGTAGAAACTGGACTTGAAGCACGTTGTTGTATGCGAAAAAGACCCCATTAGCTTGTATTTATGTTCAAAATTTTAAATAATGAATCGCCGAAGTACTAAAATGATATCATTGAACCCTACCTTTACGATAATATGAAGTATTTTCCTCAGCATGCACAAAATTCAACCATTTCTCTGCGGAAATTTTAAATATTTCTTTTCTACGGCAATTCACTAATTTCATCAATACTGATAATGTAGATAACGTAAGAGAATTACTAGCACATTTAGATACCATGAGCCAAGACGATTTAATATGATAATTTGTCAGCTAGGAAATCATGCTAGCAACCAAAACAGTGACTTGTTTATGGATCATCTACACACCAGCATGTAATGATATAATAATATACAGCATTTGATATAGCGCTCTATATCTAGCTAACACAAGCCACTCTAAAGCGCTTTACAGTACATAGATATACAATCGATACAATTTTGAGGAATTTGCAGGAGCTGCCTTATCAGGCGCTAACTACTAGTCCTATGCCACCTGGCTAATATATCCTTATGTGTGTATGCTTGCGTGTGTGCTGGAGATGTTATGTGTTCTGTTTGTAGTGGGACCGTGCTTCCAACGACATCATTTAAAGTGCCGTCTCACTTGAATGCTACAGCACAGATACCGCAACATCCACCCCATACCAATTTATACTCCACCTAGGTTGTTGGTGTTATGTTGGCAGGAGAAAACACTTTCTCTGAATAATCATGCGTACGACGACTTCGGGGAACGAACCCCGGTCGCCTGCTTGGAAGGACGGAGTGTTAACCACGCCTATGTAGACGTGGACATGAAAATGAAAATGCATTTAATCTTATATTTGAATGCCCACTCTTTCATAACAATACGATGCACTTAGAACAAAACATTTCTCACTTTGGTATAACTGATAACCAGATCATTATAATATAAAAACCCTATTAAATGGATGCATGATATGCAGCACTGATATTGACATACACATCTTACAAAATATCTATGAATATATTCGTCAAACTAATAGACTTGATTTGTAATTTCACTCACATCCAAACTTTAAATTGCAAGTGATGCTGACATTTTATTTGTCACTGTGTAGATACTGGTGTATATACATTTGTATATATTATATCTGCTTCACAACATCACTTCTGACTGGATTGGATGGAAATTATCATTACTTACTCTTAATCCCTTTCTAATTATTCTATAGTTACACGACTATTCTATAACGATTTGAACCCTTTCAACCCTTATTAAGCGTGGATGTCCCACTAAACTGACTGTTTACGATAATGGTTAAAATTCTTTTTTCATCTGTTGTGAATAGGACATCCATCTTACGAGGGCATATGACTTGGCCATGCAGTATTTCTATTCAATTTATATACATTTATTCTAAAATATTCAACAATAACTCATATCTACAAATACTTCTGCAAACACTGCTGATTAAATGTATGGATGTTGAACTGAATCCAGGTCCACTCCAGAATGTAGAAATAGTTCATCTTAATGTTAGATCCATAAGAAATAAAATAGATGTTATTGAAGCACAACTACATGATAGTGACATAATATGTATAACTGAATCACACCTTAACCCTCTAATCCCAAATTCTGATATTAAATTAGAGTCATTCTCAGATGAAATTCATAGAAAAGATAGGACAACAGGGCATGGTGGTGGTGTTATTATCTATCATAAAAACAATATTCTTACTAAACGTAGACATGATCTTGAAAATGAACATATAGAAATGATTTGGATAGAAGTCTTAATCCAAAATCATAAATTTCTGCTTGGATGTATATATAGACCTGATTCTAATATAGAATACTGGAGTAAATTTGAACAAATCCTTGATAAAGCTAGTGAAACTTCCATGGATATACTAATTACTGGTGACTTAAATGTTGATATGCTAAGAACCCCACCCACTTCTCACTTATCTAGACTCTTAACTAAATTCAACCTAAAAAGTATTATTAATAAACCTACTAGAGTGACACCTGATAGTGCAACCTCTATAGATGTTGTCTTTACAAATAATCCTTCCATAGTGAAAAATACTCATGTTGACCCTGCTTTCTGTAGTGACCACTCCCCTATATATATGGAAGTTTGTTATGCTATCTTCAAACATAAAGCATACAAAAAGACTGTATGGATGTATAACAATACTGACTATAATATTATGAATGACGAACTAAATGTTATTGACTGGAACTTAATTGCTGCTGATATGGATACCCAAGAATTTAGTATGTTTTTAACTAAATCTATTACTGACCTGATGACAAAATATATTCCTAGTAAAACTATTACAATCCGACCTGATGACAAGCCATGGATGAATACCAATATTAGGCTAAAGATGAGACAAAGAAATAGGATACATAAGAAAGCCAGACATACTGACAAAATAGAGCATTGGAATAAATATAAGCAAATAAGGAATGCTGTTATTAATCAGGTAAGAGATGCAAAACATTATTATCTTGATAAACTTCAAAAGTCTCTAAGTACTAAATCTTTGCCCCCTAATAAATGGTGGAAAATTGCTAAATCCATAACTAATTTTAACAATAAAACTGAACCGATTCCACCATTGAATGTTAATAATACACTGATTCAACATCCAACTGATAAAGCTGAAGCCCTTAATGACTATTTTACTTCTATAGCCACAACATCAGATACACTTGCTGAACCTCCAGTATTAGATATTTCCACTCTATCAAAGTTAGAAAACATAATAATCTCTGAGCAAGATGTTGATGATCAAATTACTATATTAAATGAAAATAAACCAGCAGGACCTGATGGCATATTACCTAAAGTCATAAAAAAGTTAAAACCTTCCTTAATACTCCCACTTACAATTTTATTTAACAAAACTATATCTAACGGGTGCATACCTGGGCCATGGAAGATGGCTAATGTTAGTGCTGTATACAAAGGGAATGGTTTAAAAAATAATTATTCCAATTATCGACCAATATCTGTAACATCATGTTTTAGTAAAATCCTAGAAAAAATTATATTCAAATATTTATATAACTATTTAACAACTAATAATATACTTTCCAAGGACCAATCAGGTTTTAAACCAGGTGATTCAACAGTAAACCAACTTCTCTCTATATACCACACCATAATTAGCAACCTGGATAAAGGGAAAGAACTAAGGTTTGTATTCTGCGACATCAGCAAGGCCTTTGATAGAGTTTGGCACAAAGGGTTACTACATAAACTAAAAGCATATGGTATATCGGGCAATGTTTTTAACTGGTTTGAGAATTATCTTGAAGATAGAAAGCAGAGAGTTCTATCTGAAGGTCATTTTTCTACTTTTAGGGTTGTTAATGCCGGTGTTCCTCAGGGATCAGTTCTCGGTCCTTTTTTATTTCTATTATACATTAATGACATCACTGATATAGTCCAGAGTAACATTAAGCTGTTTGCAGACGATACATCATTATATGTCATCGTAGACGAAAACCCACAACTAGCAGCAGATTATCTTAACCAAGACCTAGATAGAATTAACAACTGGGCTAGTACATGGGACATTAAATTTAACCCCTCTAAAACCAAATCATTAATTTTTTCTAGAAAAAAAGAACCTATCCATCCTCTAATTAATTTCTCTAATACTTGTGTAGATAATGCCCATGATCACAAACATCTTGGATTAACTTTTTCTGAAGATGGCACTTGGTCTACCCATGTTCAATTAATATATGAAAAGGCTAGTAAAAGAATAACAATACTTAGGTATCTGAAATATAAGATTGATAGGAAATCACTATGCAAAATATATACAACATTTATCCGCCCAGTGCTTGAATATGCAGATATTGTCTGGGACAACTGCTCTGACAATCTTAAAAATTTATTAGAATCTGTACAACTAGAAGCTGCAAGGATTATCACAGGTCTAAGGAAAGGTACATCACACCAAACTCTATATAAAGAACTAGGTTGGGAATCCCTGTCTGATCGAAGGATGAACCATAAGCTAACTCAGATGTATAAAATAACTAACAATTTATCACCCACATACCTCCATGACATAATTGATCCTCTTACTCATAACCCAGAAAATGATAGGTATACTCTAAGAAATGTAAGAATGTTTAACCCACCACTATGTCGTACAGAATCCTATGCTAAAAGCTTCTTCCCAGTAATGTGCAACAAGTTCAATGGACTTGAAAATGATATAGTACATTCCCCTACTCTTAATAAATTTAAGGCCAAGGTGTATAATAAAATATGTTGTAATAATGATATCTCGGATGTATTTAAAAATTGTGAAAGCAGAAAGGATAACATAATCCTATGTCAACTGAGAAATGAGGCGAGTAACCTGAACTATGATCTATTCAAAGATCACTTGAAAGAGTCTCCATCTTGTCTGTGTGGTGATGCTTATGAAACTGCTACACATTATCTTTCACAATGTCCAATGTATACTAATGAGAGACAAACTTTAATAAATGAGATTTTTGAAGTGTGTCCGGTTAATCTTGATACTAAAACACTTCTTAATGGAAGCACTGTGTTAAACAATACTGAAAATAAATCTATACTTGATAGTGTTCTAAAATATATATACAACACAAGAAGACTTGTTTAACTAATTAAAACAATCTATAAATTTTGTTATATATAGTCATAAATGATAAAATTACTGTCCTTAAACCATTATGTGATTCTACTGATTGTTATATTTACATTGATGTTTTAATATTATACACCTAAGGGATTAAGCTTTGTAAGCTGTTTTTACTGATGGGTGCAATAAAGTAAAACATAAATGTGCTAAGTTTGAATGCTTAGTGTTCTGTGGTTTAATCTGGATTCTTCTCGAGTGGATGATATGTGAACGGTAAAGGCCGTTAGAGACTTTTTGTCTGAAACTCGATGGGATGAAAGATTTACACATAGAACACTGGCAATACATCTTACACATATACTACATTATCAAAATCTTCTAGCTGAATTGCCTCATTTTATTTTTTCATATTTTGATGTTGTTGTATCCCTTACTTTTTATCACTCCTACCAATGATATATATATTGATACTAAATGGTTCTATACTTCTAACTACTTCATGCAACAGCAGCAGGGTATGAACAGGGGGCACTAATGACTTGCAAAACAAAAAACAAAAAAACAATTGTAGCAATTTCTCTGTTTAATATATCATTAGGGCATTGCTTTCCTATTACTAATTAATTATGATTGACTTTTTAATATGAGCATTGTATAGCTAAAAATATCAATTAAATATTTATATGTAATTGAAACATACATGGAATTATCTCCCCTATACCATCTGCTATATATATATATATGTCTATGCTACCTATTATATATGATTTGCATCAATATTTTCTTACAAACCATTTCATTCATCTTTGTCTTTGTCATGTCAACCAAAGGAGAGAACTTATATAGGCCTAGCCTGCTGTTCAATCCTATTGTTTACTCAATAAAATATGATGAAATCTAAAAAACAAAAAATAACGATTTGAAAGCTAAATTTTGAGACAGTAAACTCCAATAATAGATAATAATAACTACACTACATTTCCCTTATGAATCCATATCATATTCTGAAATTTTACAAGAAGTTTATTTCTTGGTTTTCTAGTTAAATGGGAGTTATCGCCCCTACACTGTTTAGTAAAATGTCCAATCCAATTGACATTTAAAGTCAAAACAATTTGTTGAATTGAAATTGGATCTGTTTAAAATGATTGTGGCATGGCTTTTTCTAATTGATTTTGTTGTAAATACGAGATGGCCTCAACGGGGTCAGAATGGCGTAATAAAGCCAAAATGTATAGCCTTCATATGTAAAAACATTTAATGTACATCATTCACTGTATGGCACAAACCTGAGAAAACAAAACAACCTTTGCTTGTTGGTCTGTATCTGTATACTACTGGAAGACCTCGATTCCGAGTATAATATCAGGGCTGGAGGGTTGCGCTAGTGATTATTTTGTTGATAATCGACGTTTAGTAAGATGTTTTGACCAGATCTGGGAGGTTGTTCCAGTCAGTGATCGTTCGTGGGAAGAACGACGCAATTGCCATTACATGATTTATGTGAATGTAGTGAAAACCCTGAAAAACTATTTCAGTTGTTACCATAGTAACGATATCAGCCAGCAACATATACGCAGATCCCAGCTACATTGTTGTTACGACTTGAGGTCTCGCTGTGTTTTACTATAGGATTCTCACATTCGTAGTAATACCTGTCTACAGCGAAATAACAATTCTTTTAATGGGTAACTTAAATGTCTGGATATGATACCATTTAAACAATAATTTCAGAAAAAGGGTTGGACAGCACCGACTTTTTAATTAATTTTTGGAACATGTCGTCATATAATTTGTTTAAAGAAAAGTAAATTCAATTCGACAATACAAATATAAGTGCTGAAGGCACATTGGGATGATTGAAACAGGTTTAATTGCAGAGGATTCAATAACATTTCTTGCAACAAATTGCAATATTTCAACAGATTTTGTTAAAAGAGTCTAACTGTAGTAGCGCGGTCTGATTATGATATTGCTTACACAGCAATAACACTAAACTGCTTTAAGATGCCATTCATAGGCAATATATTAACATCTCTCCCTTCTTCAATTAAGTAAACTCTGGCTGCGTATAAATTAGCGTATACGCAATGAAAAAAGGCTCGGCGGATTTATATCTGTTTCAAATATGTTCCTGTAATGCAGTGAGCATTCAAATTGTCTATGAATTGCATCCTAAAGCAGTTTAATACTTATATTTACATTTTATTTCGTTTCTGTCCTTAAAATAAATAATTACGATATGAAATATTTGAATATCCCGCCAATATCTTCTGGAATGTTTACCTGTTTGAATAGCCCCTACGCACGCGCCTTTTCCTGTGATGGAGATTGCCCAATATAGTAAGTCTCGCTCAACCAGACGCTCCACTCGTGTTTCGATAGAGAGTCTTGTAAGATTCGTATTTGATTTTTGTAACCAGTGGAGGGCGCTGAAAATAACAAACAAATATGGCAACCCCCGTCAAACAACACGAGAGAAAAACGCTCCACGGACAGTGATAATGTGTTTCTTGTTGTTTGAATAACAAACAAAGGTCCGGGTTTTGACATTGTACACGCATGTTATTATTGCCACAAAAGCCTAAGTATTGAGGCAAATATAGGGACCTATATATGTTCGCTATGTTTTAAATTGCTAAATCGGATAAAAGACATGGACTGTAGACGTGCCGAGTTATTTGACAAAATAATGATGTTATCCCAGTCGTGCAGAGTGATGTCTGTGAAGAAGCGTGGTATGCAAACGCCTGGGACTTAAAGATAATAGAGGTCCCTGCCCCATGCGGAGTGTTTACAACAGAACAGTTCATGTAGTCAATAACGTCGTCATATTTTGTGACGTAGAAACTAGTTTATACGAAATTAACCTAAAAATTTAGAATAGATGTTATTGAAAGAATGAATATATATACAAACTGTAAATATTCGCTGATAATTTTTAGCCTGTACTTTTAGTTTTTAGGTTCTCTTAAAAAACAGCCAAAACCACAAACTAAAAGGAATCCATCCACAATATCGTTATTTCTAACTCCTTCAAAAAAAGAGACAGAAGGTCTTGCTGTTCCTTTATCACCTTTAAGAAACAAACAACAACAAGATTATAAATCTTCGAGGGCTTCGGGTAAAACAAAACAGAAACATAATGTCATTCCGATCCTCCCACCTACGTGAACAGTTGCTTCCAGTCATAAAGTCATTAGCAAATGGAAGTATTAGAATGGCATGTCCATTACTATTAAGTTCTACAGACACTGCAACAAAAGAAAATGTAAAAAAAAGGCAGCTCGAAAATTAATAGAAAAGGAATGCCGCATTTTTCCAAAGCAAACTATTGAAATAAATCTGCAAAAAAAGGAATACTTGTGAGCTGGAGAATTTTGAAATGAAGCAAGTTCAAGAGGATTTTGAAAATCATGCACCAATGTTATGAGCATGTGCTGTTCAAGCAGCAACCTCTGCATTCAACAAGACATTTAATTGTGTCAAGGTTTGTGCAGCTTTGTGTGTACTACTTCAGGGGCGATCAAAAAATCTGAATTATCTGCAACATGTTGTTGCCATAACCATGTATAATAACCAATTACAGACAGATGGAATCTTAGTGTTGCCAAAACTTGGATTTTGTGTAGCCCATACCACAATGAATGCGAAGTTGAACACAGCTTAAACATTTAATGATAAATTTATGAGAACATATCAGAGGAGTTCAGCAGACTCTATTGCTTCTAAAATTAACAAATGTGTTCAAAGGGTAAAAACCGAGCACTCATATGCTGGTGGACTTGATAGATCATCAAGTAGAATGAATGACCATTCATCTTCAACCTACCATTCAGAACTGCAACAAGACAGTGCACCTCTAAGCTACAGATTCAATCTTGATTATCTAGGTTTTAATATTAGAGTTCGGGAAATGACACAAGAACATCAAAATGTATCGAGACATTTGATGAATGTTGAAAACAAGGAATTTCTTCCAACTGTTGAAGAATAATACACACTGAGAAAAGACACGATTCAGGTTGTATCAAACATTCACATTGAAAATCTCGCTTGAGGCAGTCTCGAGAGAGGGCAAGAATCTGGGGAATGCGAGACTACAATATAGTCCGTGGAAAACAACAAAAAAGAGAAATTTCATGTCAATTCGTACAGTTTGTTTGGATAGTTTTCATTGTTAATATCATGCAAGTGCATTTTAAGCACAATAATAACATTAGGCTAGTGCTGATTAACATCGCATTTTGATGACGTCACACAGCAGAGGCTGTTTGCGAAATTCACAAATCAGTAATTCGGTCGCGATGGGAAAACATGTCGCCATCCAGTTATTTATTGAAATTGAATTCAAAACTGTTGAATGTTGAGCTGGCAAAGAACCCCGGAGTAGACCTTATATTGCTAGTAGACTGCATTGTGAATGCAGGAACAACAAACCTATCTTCATTCGTGGTATTCGAGCCGTGTGATATTGAAAGCGACATTTCAGACATCTGTTAATGAGTGTAGGACGGTTTGTTAGAAACAAGTCCAGTGTGTTGTCCCTTCTAGTCGTGAAAAGCGCTGTCTGGTCGAGGCCGCAGATTTGTGAAATCTACAGTTTATGGCAGCTAGGTTTTGGGTACCGACCACTAATGTTCAAATCAATATCTGGGAGGCTCAGGTCTCCTCCAATCCACATTACTGCATTTTTGTAGGTTTATAGGGGGGTGGGGGCGATATAGTGCTCCAACTATAAGGGACCCTCCTCTGTCGCGTGATAGTTTAACGAACACAGATTCGGTGTCATCAATAGGGGGTGCGATACGGTCATAGATAAGGTCCGTCTTAACAGCAAGTAAAACACCACCAAAGCCGTCAGTTCGATCCTTTCGGATTACATCGTAGTTTGGAGGAAAAAATTCGGCACTGTGAATGCTGCTGTTTAACCAGGTTTCTGTGAGAAATTATTGTAACCATGGATCAAATAGTAAAAGATAGAAGGACATACAAAAGAGATTAGGGATTATT